ACCGAGACTCTCCGCCTGTTCTGTCCCGGGATCTAGCGCGGCGTTTCCCTCCGAGGCTCCGACTTCTGAAACAGAACAATCCAACTGTGGAAACCTTCATATAAATTGCCTTCCCCGACGCTGAACCTCCTCCTCGACGCCCTACCCAAATTAACCCCTGCCCTATCACTGAGCTACTCTCCTCGCTGCCATGACTGGATTGAGCAACGAGCAACATGCAAGACCGAAAGGTCCCCGACTTATGCGAGCCAGGAAGATTCCCAAGGAAGGTCTCGGACGTATGCCACCAAGTCCTGCACGTGAGTGCTGGCCGTCGTCATTATTAACTGACACCTCGAACTGACTGTTTTCAGCTACCGGAATATCGAGGTCAAGCAGCGATAACCTTGGTGAGTCTCCTCAGCCCTCGCTCGCTCGCATACAGTATCTTATTAGCTCTCAACTCTTAGGACACTCGAAACCGTCCAACTCGATCGCGCGTGCGGCGACATTTGGCCCGACGAACAGCGATCAGTCTCATAATGTCCGGAGCGACGAGGATGTCGACTCGGACTCGGACTCGGACTCGGATAGCTCTGGAGGATGGAGGATCGATTCCAATAAAGAGGAAGGTGCCGAGCGCGTATAGGCTGCGGTCTCGGTACGTCGCGGTTTTGTTTTCGGTCTACCCTGGAGCTAACGGCCCTTCAGCGTTGTAGTGTACTCTTTCCGATGGACTGAATCTTTTTGTTCAACCCGAACCACCCGTTGTTCGTCGTTCTATACGCGCCCCGTATCCCTCGACTTCCATCCGTCGTTAAGCCCAAGCATTCTTCATCCCCTACCCGAATCCTGTGCGAGTTTATTCCTATTATTCCACAATGTTGGCCATCGAACGGCCCCCGCAAACACACCGCGTCAATGCTCGGCTTTCAGCACCCGGATCTGCCAGCGCTTGGAATATCAGGAACAGGGCCAGTGTGGCGTCCGTTCGACCCAACTTGTACCCTAAAATCGTTAGCGTCCCATCACTCATCGCTGAGACGTGCTCCGGGTACGTTTCTTTCAAGAACGACTAT